TCACACGACATGGAATCGTCCCTTGCATCATATCATAATCATAGGTCGGCCATTCGCGGAGGCAGCGTTATCATCAAGTTAGGTACGGAAACCGTGCAATGCCTCCGAACCGGCAGATTCTATATACACGTTAACTGCAGAAAGCTTTCGGAAAGGTTGAGGAGATGGATGAATAAATCGACTAAGAAAAAGAAGACGGCTGTAGTCTTTGGTCCGTCATATGCGAATGCATAATTACCATTGTGGGTCGTTTTGTTAACTAATATTCATTGGCCATTAAAAACAATAGAACATAATAGTTTTTTATAGAATACAGATAAAAGGTCCATGACTAAAAGTGGTTTGCTAGACTCTTTTACACGCATTCCTCGTTAGAGTGAGATTGTTTGCCCAAGATGTTTCGCCTCATGTTCGCTTGGAAATATTGTACCTATTTTTTTGGCAGTGTTATACGTTCGTATTTATTTGTCACTGTCTACACAGCCTGTCGTAGTTGTGCAATTGTGAACAGTTCTGCGTCAAATTTTTATCCTACTTTCTTTCCCTCGAAGTTGCCCGCCACGGTGGTCTAGTGGCTAAGGTACTCGGCTGCTGACCCGCGGGTCGCAGGATCGAATCCCGGCGGCGGCGGCTGCATTTTCGACGGAGGCGAAACTCCTGCAGGCCCGTGTGTTCAGATTTTAGTGCAAGTTAAAAAAAACGCAGGTGATCGAAATTACCGAAGCCCTCCACTACGGCGTTTTTTTCATAATCGTACAGTGGTTTTGTTACATTAAGCCCCACATATTGATTCAATCCCTTCAAGCTCTCATCACCAAATCACTGTGATACTTTCTTACTCGTCATACATTTCAATTACTATATTCAAACATTTTACCATTTCGGTGTTGCACAACGCACATTTTCTCCTATCTGTGGTGTGCATGAAAGCGCACGCTTGTTCCAAAATTATTTCGACAAAACCAACACCAATGAAATTTTATAATGTCAAGTTGTACATGTAACATTGCATTTCAGGGATACGTTTACGGGAAGGTGAATGCTTGAAATGATGTAAAATATCCTAACAGAGGTTGTCGCAGGCGCCAGCGTCTCGGTAAGTGAACTTATCTTCGCCAAAACAGCAAATGACCAAGACATGTCCACTTGCCGAAACATTGCTTTGAGCGACATTACCTGTTCAATTATTTTTTTTTCTTCATTGCCTTTCAAGAGAGTTGTACGTTTAATACCAAGCTGCTTTTTGTGTGTAACACGTGCTGTTGCCCTTACAAAATGATCCTCGCTATAAATACCTTCGATGTTTGCGCTGTTCGCTTTCAATGGACAATAGGATCTGATCAGAAGCCCTTTAGGATTTGTGCGGAAGGCCCTCAGAATGTAGTACGTACGTTCTGATGATAATGTCCCATGGACTTGCCACGGACACTTTCCTGGGAATACGTTTCTACCCTGCCCCACCACAAAACGCGTCCTTTGAAGCGTTGCGTACCGTTAACCGTAAATGCGAACCTGTGAACGTCCGTTCCGTTTACGGCACCTCAAACTCCCGGTGGGAAAACATTCATCGCCTCGTTGCCTGTTTTACTGCCCAGTTTGTCTAACCCTGCAGTTGAAAGTCGAGCAGCATGTTAGCAAATGGCGGCGTATGCACGAGTCAGCTGACATTTGCTTTTGCTTCCAAGGGTAGCGCTGAAGCAAGCGAGAGAAAATAAAACTGGACGAAATCGCTCGCGCAGCTCAATCTCCCGCTGTTATCTCGTGAAACGCACCTAAAGAGATCGCCAGAACGTTATCGCCCCGCAAACCGAGCACACTAGTCGACCGAAAACCAGCTCAACAAGCCTCCCACGATTTAAGCAACAAGAAAATATAAACTTAAGTGCCAGAAAGCTGCCGAATAATGACGTAAGCGGTACAACTGAACCGTGCAGGCGGTGCGCAGGGACACACTCAATTTCACGCGCAACGTGTATACTTGCGGGGTTGCCGGAGAAGTGGTAAGCGTAACTTGTGCAAGGCATTGGACGAACTGTTCAGGGAAGAACCAATGCGTTTTTGTTTTGTTCGTTTGCAGAAAATGGCCCTATAGACGGTTTTCCGCAGTGGCGAACGGGCACTGTCACGTTTAAACACGTGATCAAATGGCCTTCTCCTTTCCACTTATTCACCGCCGCTGATGGCCGGCGCCGCTCCCGGGTTGAAGGCCAGCAAAGCGGGCGCAGCGCATGGTCCGCGCCACCTATTCATCTTTCTGTTTTTTTCTCTTTTATGCACTGCACCCTGTTGCCTTGTGGCTAGCAGAAATTAGGTGCCTTTTTCCTTCTTCAAGACTCGCTACCACCACTGCTTCTCGCCTTAGGCTGCAGGGCAATGCCCTCCACACGCCACATCGCGGCCGCGCCACCGAGGAAAAGGCCACGGCGCTTCGGTGCGGTGGCGCCATCTAGTTTTACCTAGGCAAACTAGCTGCGACAAGCAGTCTATGCTTCGCATTTTCGTGGCAGCACTGTGGAAGCTACACAGCCGAAGCGCATGCCTGCTATTACGAAAGAATATCAGCAGTTAACCAAAAGGCTTGAAATCACTCGGAGCGGCTGCCGAATGCGTTGTCGCTCCTTAATACATTGTTTTACGGTGAGTCAACTCGAACAGCAATGGCAGTGTTCCTCAATAACCACTGTTGGCATAGACTAGTGGCTCTCATGCATGTTTCGGGGACCCTTTTTGAAACCGTTGAAGTGATGTTGGAACTTGCCGTGAGAGAGAGGGTTATAAACAAACACAGCATGCAGTGTGTAACAGGTGCCTTTTATCTCCTCCCTGTCGAAGAATGATCAAACTGAAGTGCCTCACCAATTTGATTTAAAGAACGGCTCGTCAGTAATTAGTTGCGCGGTTGGCACCCACATTCAGCCTGTTTTTAGTTACGCCTTCTCTTCAAATATGCAAGCCTTGAAAAGGTATGCTCGCGTACATAAGTCGTAAAAACTGCAACAAAAGCTTTATAACCATATCATGGAAAATGGGAAACATAATTCAGCTCCACCGCGATGCCAAAATGACATATGCAGTGAAGCATACCAAAATCATAAAGGGTATCTATCACGGGACATCGTGTGTTTTAAAAAAACACACTTCTTAAATAAACTTTTTTAGTATTGGCATCGCAGTCCTCCAAAAATGGCGTCCCAGATCCCCAGTGCCCCGTGCACCCACATTTGAAAACCAAGTGCATATATTTATGCATGTTTTATCACCACTACTCTGGACTATACAGGAACACCCTGCTCATGTACCCGTTATCGCACGTACAGCAACGAACAATTGAAATGCGAACACAATTATTTCCGCCAGTATGCCTAACGGCACTATAATATCACCATGCGTACGCTCATTTTGAGGCACAAACTTATATGGCAAGGGCGTGCACCACCACACTGCTTATGTGGTGCTTTCGGCCGCAGCAGAACTTTGTGTAAATGACGTTTGGAAACTATCAGTGTCAGTGGATATTTACAGCCGCCGAAGGTTGGCCCCTACAGTCCGATACCAATGACCTCAGGACGCCCAGATATTAAGTGAAGCTATATTGTGTCTTATGTATACTTTTTTAAGACATTGACGTTACATTACAAGCCAGCACCCGAGTCCCAGCAAGGGAACGTGGAAAGACAAGGACTGAAGTAACGTAGAGTACTGAGTGAGTTGGTATAGGTTCATGTCGTAGCGTAGTGCGAAGAAAACGGGACACCGTAAAGAAAACGCGATAAACAGCGCATGTCATGTGTGTTCTTTCTCATGTTCTGCTTTCCTCGCGTTGCGTTTTGACATGAACACAAGGACTGCAAGAGGATTTCAAAAAAAATGATAAGAAGAACTAAAAGGTCTATGTATATCCACGAAGTGAATTATGACGGGTAGGCGAAGCACTCGGTATTGTTGTTGCTGTAAATCCGCCGTGATATTGCCCACTCGCGCATGTGACAACACGTGTGCATACAGTCTATGCAAAGCAGTTTTGGCCTTGAGCCGCCGTTTCTAGAACCTTGAGCTCAGGGGTAGCAGCTTGCTGTCAGCGTTGCCGTTTTGTCGCTGCTTTCCGAGCTCTCTCCTGTGCTTGCTGTCTGCGTAGACATTGAGCGGCCGCATACCTTGCTCCCGCCTGGGGAGTATTGTTGTCGGCTTTGACGCCTTGCCCTTTGCGGGCGAGAGCATTTTCACGATCGTTTCCATCAATGGCAGAACAGGAATGTGTGCTCTGAAACACGCTTATTCTTCATCGTCATGACGCGTGCACCTTGCGTGTACTGTGCCGGACAAGGAGCTTCGCCCCTAAGGTAACTCATCCAATGAAAACAAGTACTGGCTATGCACTATCAAGCGCCACGGTGTGGAGGCTCAACTGTGAGCCTTCGGCCCGACAGTCGCAACGTGGGAACGGCCCGCTGCAAATACACATCAGGACTAACAAGACTTTCGCATTCATCTATCTGCGGGTTTCAGCGGCCTGTTGCCCAGCCCGACACTGTCATTGGTGATGCTGGCAAAATTTGTAATAACGCAAAGAGGCACGGCATGCATTAACACCTCCCCCCCCCCCCCGGACTCGTGCAAACCACTGACACCGCAACAGTCACGATGCTTATGCAATGCCAGCCAAGTAGGCAGAACCCTACCCCAGAATGCACGCGAAAATTACGAGCGTTAGCAGCTCTAGGCACCAGACGGTGGTAGAACGACATGCATGTCGTTCTTTGGGCAGGCATGTCGTAGAACGACATGCCTGCCCAAAGTCTGGCATTCAGACTGGCAGTATTCTCCTAAATAAATAAAATAAATGTGTAGCTGAGGCGTCTTGATCGTCAGCGCGCTGTCCGTCGCTGTTCATTCCCACCTTAGTGATATATACTAACCAGCCCAGTGTGTACACTTCTACGTCGATGAATAGTTTAATGGAGCTTCTATTCACGAGAGAGTTGCTGAAAATTCTGGCTCACCTTTTCGCATCTTGATGGTCGCAACACTGTTGGCGTTTGGACACTGATGTCCGTCTGCCGCAGTATACCACTCAGTGTATACCACTCCGTGCCCTTGTGTAGTTCCTCTTTGTTGTGTATTCAAGTACACCGCTCGTTGAAATCACCCGAAGCGTACACGCGCGCCGCGACCAGTATGAAAATATGTTCAGTCCAGTCGCACTACATTTCGTAGGGGGCGAAATGGTAGAAGTCCGTGTACCTAGATGCACGATAAAGAACAGCAGATGGTCAGATGTCCTGAGCCCTCCACTACGGCGTCACTCACAATTGGCTTTGAGACGTGAAAACCACCACAGTCCAGCCGCAACTTCCAGCACTAAAGCAAGACGGTGCAGCTGCTGCTCAGTTCATGCAAGAAAAGGGGGCGGGGTCGAGCGAGTGGTGGCCTGGGAGTGGTGACTGCGCAAACCGAACCTGTCAAGTTTGATAAAACTCGACCGACGTCGACTATCTCGATTACTCGTGCCGTTAAACACGTATCGGCAAGCGCTGTCCAACTTAGGCAGCAAGGCTGAAAGAAAAGCTTGGCCAACTAGTGTATTTATATATCGGCCAAAACACGATAAGAATAATATAAGTTTAAAACTAACGGTGCATCATTCTTAATAGAAGCGCCAGCCGCAGCATCAAACAGGCAACCTAAAGGAGCAGGAGGCGAAGGAGAAGAAAGGCCATCCAGCTGACAGAGGCGCACAACCACTCTGTTGCTCCCAATGAGGTATAACCTCCTTGGTTGCTCCCCGACCACGCAACGTATATATGACATGCCAGGACACTTTCAGGGGCGTAGCTAGGGAGTGGCCATGGAGCCCGTCCGCCCCACCCCCTCCCAACAATTTTTTTTCGCCATGATGTAGAGAGGGAAATATGACCATTCCAAGGGGGTGTCCTTCCCAAAATCAAAGAGCCCCCCCCCACCCCCACTTGAAAAAAGTTTCCGGCTACACTCTCAAACACTCTTCTGCACATCCAAATCTTGAATGAAATATGAAATACAGAGACACGGTGTGGAGATAAGGCTAGAGTGTATTCCTCAAAGCACCGTGTCATACTTGGCGCCCAGAACAGAAACTGCTAGCTTTGTGGACATCCAGACCTTTTAGGAGCTTAGGGCCTCGTTTGGAACAACCAAATTTCGCAGTTCTTTTTTTAAAGACTGGTAGTCTTTCTTGGGGACCTTCGACGCAAAAATTTTGGTCTGTCTTTTTTGTATATTTGTCTGTTTGTCCACTCTTAACAGCATCTGGTATTTCAAACGGCCGATTTTATCCGCAGCACCCACCTATGTTGCTCAAGATTCAGCGTTCATACTTGCGCAATTGTCGATTAAGAAGCAATTATTGCGCATGTATGGGGCACCATGACAACACGTATATATTTTGTATGTGCGCCTTTTACTAGAAAATGCATACATAAGTAATTTTAAGGACCGTAAAGCTTATCACGCTGCGCTGACTATGCAACACTTGCACGGAAAGGCGAGTGGTTTCTACCTTTTGCTAAAACGAGACGGTGGTGGCACCTACCCGTCACCTTGCGTTCTACACCTTATCACCTCTGAGACGGGCGCGCACACTCGTCTCAGAGCCAGGCGCTTTGTTTTTGAAAAAAAAAACTGCCAGATGCTGCTCATGTCTCACGTGTGACGTGACTTGATGCACTTGTTCGCCTCCGCTGCACGCTCGAGGCACTCTTACGCAGCGCCTCCAGAATACCATGCACAGATTTACTTGAGCAGAACATCAATGTTTTGTTCACTCTCTCCACACGCAAGATCTATCGTCTTTCGACGACATTTGCAGATTAAATGCAGATACAGGGCCACTTTTTTTACGCTTTACTTGTACGCTCAAGATCAAAGTAAAGAAGTTTGAATAAACTGACCTGAAATTATCTTCTTATAGGTATTGATCGAGCAGGTCATAGTACCGAAGTGAAAAGGCGGGCCACAAATGTCTTGACCCGTCACTCAGTTATAGCCACCCATGTTGGGGAAGGGGTGTGATAGGGGAAGAGAGATGGTGGCGTGAGCGCACGCAAGCGGGTGGGGGGGGGGGGGGGTTACATGCCAGTGACACATCGCAGCTCGGAAATAAAGTAGCACTGGTGTAACCACGGTTTCTAGAACCCTGTGCTTCAGGGGTCGGTGAGTGCTGGTGAGGCGTCAAGGGGGCCAGTACCCCTTTTGCAGCCCCCTACCCCAACTCCTACAGATGTACATGGGCCGCGATTACCAGGATGGCGGCTGCGATAAAAAAAACTTTGAATGTCTGTAAGACGTTTCAGACTCTGCCATCAAGTTCAGTCTCGTGCAAAAGTTTGTTTAGAATTTTGAGAATATTGTTCGATAATGTGGTTCATGAGAAGCGTCAAACAGAACTTTTCCAGATAATTGCTGCCTGACCAGTTTCAACAAGACGGTTTTCAGCAATTTTGTTTTCATCACGGGCCGAGACTCAAGAGACATTCATGTGGCCTCAAGAGGGCTATTCCTGAGACGTCTGGTTCACAAATGTCTAACTAAAACATGTAAGGCACAAAGAACTAAGACGCACAAAGAAAAGCGCAGTTCATGCTTTCCTACGTACGTTCTGGTTTCTTGTGTTTCATCCGTATGTTTTAGTTCCTACAGCCATGCTTAGAGTACTTATTGCTAGAAGTGTATGAAAATAATGCTGCCCTAACTCATTTACAATGCTGACTTTGCAGAAGCGTGACATCCATAATTTGTTTGCTCTAATTCCGGCACTTTCATGCCCGATCTTGCCCAAGAGTGGATAATACTACCATGAAAATGGATCTTGACCGAAATACATAGAAATCCTGCGCGCATTATTCAGTGCACTAGCTCAAAACCGTGTTACAAGCAATGATCTGCGCGTGGCAGAGCCACTGAGGCCGTACTGCAGCGTCGGTTTTGCGGCGCAAAGATCGCTTAATTTTTCGGCGCGCAAAAGAAATTGGGTGGCAAATTCACTAGCTTCATCGATGTTGCACAATTAAAGTGAATTACTGTCAGAGTAAGCATATTTTCCACCTGTTCTAGATGCCGAGCATCTCTTGCTTGCAGGTATGTGGTGGTGGTAGTGATTTGGGGAAGAGACGCCTAACTTCTGCAGCCCTTAAAGGAGCACGGCGCAGCGTCAAACAGGTTTGTCAGCCATCGTGGTGGTGGTAGTGATTAGAAGATGAGAAAAGGCGCCTAATTTCCGCAACCCGGTCGGGAGCACGGCGCAGTGCCTGCCATCGTACTCACACTACGCATGCGCGATTCTCCTCTTTCCCTCACTCTAACAGCTGCGCGTTACTCTCTCCACAACTCTCCTGCCACCTGCTCGCGCAATCCTCCATTGCGCATGCGCGTTTCCTTCCCTCTCTCTCATCTACGCTTCTCTTCTCCTGCAACGCAACGCCAACCTACGCTTACTCCCCCCTCTTCTCAAGGCATTCCTCTTCGCGGCGCCTCGCTAAGCCTAACCAGGCAGCGTCTGCTGGCGGGTTCCTTGATTGAAAAAAACCGACTGCTCACGCTGCACAACCGTTCACTGGCCACCCCGTCTATATCGGCCCTGGATCTTGACCTTCAAGGTAGTGCCGGTCGGAGATTTCTCCCGTGTGTTATTGAACAATAAAAATTGGCAGCGCGCATGCTAACTAAAAATCACACCATGTGTGATGCAGGGCATCGCAGGAGTTTCCAACACAATGTTCCCGCGATGCCTTGTAATGAACCAAGTTAACAACGTAATAGCACGCAAGGTTCACTGCTAAGGTAACACCGTAAACCGATAAACACCGCCGTTCAAAACACCCTCGAAACTCCCCACGATGCTCCGCATCGCCCCATGGTCTCCCTCGGAGAGATGTTTAACTCTTTGGTTATCAAAATTGTCGCTCACAGCCCTTAATTTTCTGGTTCCCGTCAAAAACGCGATTCCGCTCGAACAGTGATAACCCTTTCCATCAGCAAGTCGGCAAAAAGTACAGCGAGCGCATGGGGGGAACGGCATCAAAATTCAGTAGAGCGGCAGCAAAGCTTTCTACCAGAAAAAAAAAAAAACCGAATGCTCACTCTCGGCACGGCGAATTGAAACAACGGCTCACAGGCCCAACGAAATAAATTGCAATGCAGGAAGCATCATCACCGCTGATGATGAACTCAGCTCTAAATAAACGCAGATTCCGGATGTTTTACTTTTGATGGCTGCTTTCTTATAGCTGCCATTTTTAACAGAGATTTCAAAGGCCACTCTTGCACGCGGGATGTGACTGCTTAGCACTACCATAGAGTTTCATACAATTATTGTACGAAACTCTTTGAGTGCTACGTTCCAGGTGCGATGATTACTTTAGAGGGGGGGGGGGGCTGCAATCAAACCCTTGACCCCAAATTTTTGGTGCAAGTGCTAGAGATCGAGCTGTAAGCGTGAATAGTTGAGATTCAAGCTTCCCGGTGCTGCTTATTCGCAACGTATGCCAGAGGTGGCAGCGAGAAGAAGAGGAGGAGGAGGGCTTTCTCGGAATGCCGTTGAAATTTCATATTAGCAGAGAAATAACAGGGCGTGCTTGCTAGCAATTTTACCTAATATAGTTTCACAGTATATTGCCAACATAAAAATTCCATCATCGAACATAAAACTCCACGAGAGATATAAAAAGTTCATGTAATTGAGAATAACCGTGGAAATTTACCGATTTCACATATGTTAAAAATAGTAGTCAACGACAGTGTTGAAATTTTCGCGTCCAGCCTGAGAGAGAAAAAAATGACGAGTTTTGTCCAGCATGCCGGCGAGCACTGAGCTTTTCGGAAAAAGAAGAAACCATCTTTAATTTCACAGCTCATGTGGTTTTAGGATCCACATCTTCATGTGGACGCTGATAAACGTCTGTCGGTGTTCTCGAGTCCGATGTCGGCTGTTCTGTTAGTCGCATATTTTGCAGACATAGCAGTTCCGCTTGAAGTAAATTATGAATAAGAACGCCAGGCCTGCGCAGAAGGTGCAGCACAGTCACAGTGAAAGCTAGAAGAGCATTCTTTCAGAGCCTTTTCTAAACCTTCATTCGTTAACTGCTACAAGCACACTAGCTGGGTAACCACTACGGAATTATTAATTTCTGGGTAGTAGACCAGCCTTCGCTGTGCTATTTCTCCTAATTCTTCTGAGAAGCATGGTATTCACTAAACACTTGCAAGGAATTCTGTGCCAATTGTTCATGCAGTGACTGATGACAATGAGGAATTATGACTGAAGTGGGTATGAACCACTGTTATTAGTAGAACAAAAACAAGCTTTTGTAA